GTTGGGGTGGGGGGAAGTGTGCTATTCCTGAAATGCCAACTCCAAATGCTAATTATGCTACAAACAGTTTTTGGACAAGGATTTCTGGGATAGAAACAGGTTATTCCCACATAAGCTGTGAAAGAAATCCCATAAATTGTTTTTACTTTAGAAAAAAAAAATAGTAAACATATGATACAAAAAGCAGATGACTGTCATCCAATGTGTAATTTTTATTGTTTTTCATACCAATTACTGCATTTTCTAGATTGAGCATTCAAACATAGTATATGCATCAATATGGCTTTTGCTGTCTATTTTGGGGATTATGAAGTGGAAGATGCCTGGTCATCAAATTGTTCTTGAAACATATGCATTTCTAGAATCTCATCCAAAGGTCAACATTTTTCCCCAATACAGCCCACTACACAGTACACACTGACTGATACTTATCCTCCACCTCTGGATTTATTGGCACATTGCTGTCACCAAACAACAGTAGGCAACTACAGCTGGGATACAGCCTGCCTTCTGATTATGGACTAAGTAGGAAAAAATTCAAGTTAAAAATAAAAATTAAAGAGTGAAAGGCAGGAAGAATGGGAAGGGTCAAAAAACACTGAAAAAGTGTGCTATTCATTGGGCATAGAGGAAAGGGAGAATTCTGGTATTATACCTGTTAGTCAAGTAGTTACATGCATTGGCCCTACAGAACACCTGGGAAATGGTGACAGCCACAGAATTACAGGCCAGGAAACATACGCTCATTTAGACAGCCCTTTTGTTAATTTATTGTTATCAGATTATCTCTGACACTGCTGAATAGCATCCTCTCTTGTTGCTTATAGTTTCTTCCACCAGAACTCAGGCAGAGTTTGACAAGCTTTTTGAGAAACATTCCTGTTTCAGAATTTTCAAAGTAGTTCAAAATTAGTTTACGTTAGCTCAGTTATTTTAATTTCTCTTCCACTGCAGCTCTTCAGTCATGACTTCAAGCTCTGCAATCACTTTAAACAGAACTGACACTGAGTCCCTCTTTTACATGACTCCATTAAACCTCACACAGCAGATGACTCTTTTCTTGTCACTGACCAGCAGCGCACAGCCATCCAAACAAACTAGCTTAGATTTAGTATTTCTTTCACTTTTGATCTTACACTTCTCTTCAGCTCTAATACTGCTGAGTTGTCCATATGGATTACATGATGCTTCCCCTCCTCTGTTACTGTGAATCAGCTACAGAAATAATTTTGCTTATGGCAGAGGAACTGATGAATCCTTAAACCTTTCACAGTACAGCACAGTAAAAAGACACTTCTGGTACAGGCGAATTCTTAACAGCTACCATTTATCTTGCATACATGGGATGTAAGTGGATTCTATAGTATATAGATACACCGTCTACTTTAGAACAAATTACCCCTATTTATAACTGATTCCCACAGTGTTGAATGGCCACAGGACAGATACTTCTTGCATACAGAACGCTGCTAACAAGTAGCTGTGAGCTCAACAGTCCCTGAGTACATCACACTGCATGGTTAGCAAGATGACTGCCATGTAGATCACCACATTCCCTAGCAACAGGACAAAAGACAAAATGGAAATACTTCCTGGTGTGCACAACACAGCTTACTGCCAAAAGTTATCATTAAATTTAAAATACTTTAGCTCAGAAAACTGCAGAAATTGACATGAGTAGCAGGAACACAATATATGAAACTAGTTTTCTTGTTTGAAAAAGAAACATTCGTTTTAGATCAGGAAGCTAAGATACAAAAGTAAAAAAAAAAAAAAAAAATTATCCCTGAGAGATCTTTATCATGTGCCACCTGCTCTAAAAGGCTTTTCTGATTTTGATCATAGGCATTTATCCAAGTGAAGTCTCATGAAGAACCTTAACCCGTTTAGGTAAAAGTAAAAGCCTGTTCTAGCAAACTGAAAGTGTAAACATTATTTTATGTACAATTTGACATAGGGGAAGGGTGGGAAATTCAAGCAATGATGATTTTTCCCTTAGAGTTGTACTAAATGCTACTTGTTTAAAAGGCTTTGTAAACAGGTGAAGTTCCTAATCTAATCTATGAATTAAAATGGTAAATGTAGACAGTGCTCAGAGGCTATGTCTCCTGGCAGTGTATTACAAAATTTCCACATAATTTGGATGACAGAAGTTCAATGTGCTACCTTTCTCCTTGCAAACCATTCTGCTAAATTATTTATTCCTTCCCTGTGAAAACTGTCAGCCTTATCATGTAGATTCTCTACCAAGGTAAAAGCAACTGTTCCAGATGACACGAATTCACTGGAACATACTCCCAAGAAAGCAGAGATTAAAATGAAAGGTATCTGCTAGTTAGAACATTTTGCATTAGAAAACAAGAGATCATCATTACAGAATTTGTTTTCTTAAAGGTGAGACATACAAAGCAAAGCATGATGCTCCACTTACTTGATTTCCTCCCATTTGGAAATAAGCTGATTAAATGTACTCACAACAGATGATGCCAAATTTGTCAGAAGCTTAGTGTCCTAGCAACAGGTATGGTACAGTATTAGTAATAGATTAATGACATGCACTAATAGATTATTGGCTTGAAGCTATGTACCATCTTAAAAATCTTTATGCAGAACTACAGAGGTTTCACAGTTTGGAAATTCAATACTCCAGTTTTCTATAAAAATTATGTTTTTCAAAAGCAAGCCAAACTGTGTAAGAAGAAAAAGCACAGAGACCTTCCAGCACCCAAAGATGGGGCAGCTGGGCTTGACAACTGCTGTAGGTCTGTTCCAATTGAAATATTCTATTCTGTTTACCCACATTCTTTCTCATTTCTGACACTGGTTAACACACAGTTATTTTACACAGGAAAATGCTGAGTGCCGTATTGCAGTGATCACACACATGAAAGTGGTTAGTCTAAAGCTAAGAGCACCAAAAAGAAAAAAGTCAGAAATAAGCAGTAACGCATATCGTGAACTGGATTTGTGTAATAAGCTTCCAGAAGTTCTGGAAAATATTTCAGTTTGTATTTAATGTCTGCTTACAGATATTTAGTATTTACCTTTTCCAAACTTGGCCCTTTGCATACTGTTTTTCCCAGTAGTGAGTAAAAAGTTAATATGAATCAATGCTTTGTTTCATAACAACTTCCTCTCTCCTATCAAACACAGTAACTAATTCCCAGTCCATCTGGAAGAGACCAAACTGCAAAGTCGAACACTGATTTGCATTTGTATTCATTTTATTTTAGAGAGGCCTAGTACAATGCATGAGACTGTCAGACACTTAAATATTATCCTCATTTTTAAGATAGTATTCTTGTATAGTGAGGTATTTCACAATTCCAATGCAAATAAGTAGCTTTTAAAATCATTGCTGTAAGTCACATAGGCTACAGATCTGTTGTATGAGTAGAAAAAAGGATGGGGACAGATTATGCCAATCCTACTAGCACTTTGCATCTGGTCTCCAATAGTAATGAGTTACTCCCAACTACTCGAAGAGGATAACTATTTCAAATACATTTTTAATGTACAGACTGCTAAAGCAAAACGACTGAAGCTCTGACCATCATTTTACTGGAAAAGAAAAGGAAATATCCGGGATTTGGAGGAAAAGACAAACCCTGCTGTAACCTTCATGTAATCAGATTTTTTTTCTCATTGTTTTAGAAAGATTTTGTAACTGTTAAGATAAAGGTCATTAAGCAAGATTGAGGTGAATAAGCAGAGAGACATTGCTTTCACCCAAGGATGTGGCAAACATAGCTAAGGCATCTTACGAAGTCCCACAATTCCTCATCTTCCCCATGTTCAGTATATGAGGGTGGGTTCCCTTCCAAGCTGTATGAGCCAGCTGACAATGTGGATATTAAAGGAGACATGAGTGACTACCCCTAACCAATCCAGAAGTCTTCCCAGTATAGAGCAAGATATATGTGTACACACCAGAACACTCAAAGAGGAGCACGTCACAGCTTGTCCGCACAGTTATTCCAACAATATCAAACCCACACATCTTTCTCTTCAAAGACAATATGATGCCAAAGTTTTCTTATGAAAGCCAAGCCTAGTTTGCTGGGATCTTACATCGAATTCTGAGCTCAACAATAACTGGACAGTGTTTGCAAAGTATTAAAAAAATTAGCATTTGGAATATACACCATTAGCTATAAAAACCCAGCTAAAGCAACTGTTAATGGCAAGTACCACTTATGGGAACAGTCAGTGTATCACCATGCTGTGTGTGGAGATGAGGGCTGCCTGCCTGCACTACTACATTTTCTTCAAGCTGATCAAAACTGTTCTAAGAGACAATAAATCTTCCATGATTCTGTTAAGACAATAGAAACTATGTCAAAAAAAGAAAGGCAAGAAACAAGTTTTACTTGCCCTTGCAGGTAAGTAGTCCAAATCTAGGTGATGTCTTACTTTTCAAGGAGATAGTCAACATTAAACTGTGAGTTTTGGTTTATGCTGGAGAAATAGAATAGTCAAGTTTAATTTACTACAAACATTTAAGTGAAAGTTTAAGGAATTTATGGGTACCATTTCACAGAAATGATCTGATAAAAACACAAGAGGCATTTATAGTATTCAGAAGCTGTTTCAATACCAAAAGGAAGATTTCTGATTCAAATGAAGCTTTACCATATTTCAGTATAGTTTCAACTAATTACGGTAACTTCTCTTACCTGCCCCCATGCACAGCCCTTCCTCCTTAAACCTTGTGAATAATAATAACAATAATAATAATAATAATACACTAGTGCACTGTGAACCCATTCACAGGCATAAAACTTCATACAGCATAAAATTGTGACATGCATTGTAACTGTAGCAAACTAAATTTTTAGCATCCAAAACTAACTTCTGTATAGAACTAGTTCCATTTAAGGGAGAAAATCTTATCCAGGAAAGACTGTAAGCTTCACACAAGGGAACAATTCACAGCATTGTAAATACCAATAACTACAGTTAAAAAATTACCTTCTATTCAAGAAAGCCAGACTTCCTACCTTCACTACAGGGTGTCCTCCAGTAGACGCTTTTACTGCTCCTCGGCTTCCTTCTGTTTCATAGTGAGCTCTGTGATGAGTTTTAGGCTGGACTTCTATTTTCAGTTCACACTGCCCATAATGACTTGGTAAAGGCCAGTCAAGAGGTGGCAAGGAAGATGTGCTGCAATCAAGATGAGCACACTATGATTACAAGAACTGTGCCATCTGGCCACAGTACAAACAAAGCCTTCACTGTAAAACACAATGATGTCACTTTCCTGACAAATGATAACCAAAGAAGAATACCTACTAGCTTAAAAATGTTACGTGAAAATTCCAAAATTTTGCTGGTACATTAAAATCTTCAATTAACCCCGATTTATTTTCGGGTTGTTAGAATGGAATTTCTTCCTTCCAACATCTGATTAAAAAAGAAAGGTAATGTATGACCTCAAGCCTCACACTACCAGTGCTACTCTACAATGCCTTTATATTAACTTTTTATCCTCAAGTGTATCAGAAAGCAAGTTTAAATGTGGTTTAGAGGGAACAATAGAGACTCAATCTTTGCCAGTCATTAAGTTTTGACCCTCTGCACTGTTATCTTTCAACTTGTTGTTTTTGGTTTTTTCTAAGTTTGGCAAGCACTGCACTTTATTAACTATCATTAAAATGAACACTATATGATCATCCAAAGTTTCAAAAAGCTTGCTGTTTTACCTAAGCATAAAGACTTACCGCAACAGGCAACAAAGACGCCTAAAGTACATGTTCAGCTTATCCACAGATATACCCTTTTATACATTAGCAAAGTCACTCCAGGGAAAAACAAAATGCAGTTAATAGAAGTAATATGGAAGAACTTCAAACCAAAGTTTTCATACCTACCCTTTTACCTGCACAGATTTATAGACTTAAGATTCTAAAAAAATGAACAGTCAGATGCAAGTCAGTAACTACCTGGTGGAGTAAATTAAATTATGAACATTTAAAAGTGAACATTTATAGCACTGTTTACCAAACAAGAATATTTACATTGAAAATAAGCTTCTATTTACATAGTTTTGTTCTACCTTACTCTGACCAACAGGGAAAGCAAATTAGGTTTAAAGCAATGGACAAATATTGGTTTGTATCATCATCTGGGAAAGCTCAAATCCATTTCTTTTCACTTTAGAGGAAGTCAAGCAAAACCCCACCACTAATCCATGCAAATTTCCACAAACGTGCATAGCCACAGGCCCATAAAAGATAAATGATACCTTCTGGAGAATTTAGCTAAGATGTATAAAATCATATCCACAGCTGAGAAAGAAGATAAATGTTTGGACTGAAGGAAAAAAAAAATAAAGAAAAGGAGTCTGTATTTAGCAAGTATCTGGAGGGACTTGGGCTCACCCTGCAACACCATACATCTACCTTTTACTGCAGAAATATCTGTCACTAGGAATGGAAAAGAGGGAGAAGAACCGGCACCGCTTGCTGGTCTCCTACAGGAGAACGACCTCCAAGCCTACTGACCTGCTCTTTCTTGGATACTTGCACTGTGCACCTCAGGAGAGAGTTGGCATTACAACATAAATCTTCACCCCTTTAAGAGCAGTGGGAAGAGGAATATTTCCCTTTCTTCTTACTGAAAGGCAGAAGTGTGAGGAATAATCTCTACCAGCATTCAGTACAGCAAAGAGGCTTCTTCCTCCCCCTAAGGAGGTCTGATTGGTCCTTCCATAGCAATAGTATTTACTGGGTAGGAGAGGACTGGCGATGTCAGCAATAAAAGAGGAAACTGTCAGGAATGCAGTATAAGCCCAATCCTTCCAGATACTTACCACAGGCCAGGATGTACTACCTAAATACTACTACTGGCTATCACCTAGACCTTGTCATTCACTTTTATAGTTACTGAGGGAGAAGGATGCAAGTCTTCAGTCTGAAAAGGAAAGAAAACGTCAGGATTAGAAGATACTAAAAGGAGTTCAAAAAGAAACATGGTATGCTATTTTCATTTAGTATTTTTGGAAACCTTTTTATCCCCCATATAACCAAATATTCTATGCCAAAATAGTCGTTATACACTGTGAGCAGATATGGTATCTGAAAGAACTTGGTTAATGCACCATAGGCCATATACCAATTTTTGGGAGCTCTTACTGAAAGCTGAATGATAAGCTCAGTCAAGAAAAAGGTATTTGTTGCTTGTGACCCCCCTCCATACAGTCTCTCAGAGAGATTTACTCCTCCTGCAATTAACTAATAAAAATATGGCACAAGCTGTATCAGACTAACATTATCTCCTGAAAGACTATTCGACATACTAGAACAAATATGGAGACAGGAAAATAACCAAGTCTCAAGATTTTGTCATTCTTCGACAACAAATAGAAAATAACAGCACGAGAGAGCAAGCAAGTGCTCTACGCACGTGCAGATGCCTAAAACATCAAAACATTGCAGAGCTTTCAAAACACAGATCTCCCAACAAATGGCACAGCCTTTGAGTTGTGTACATCTGAGTACATCTCTTTGATGTACTGCATCAAACAGATGTCTTCTAGATGCAGCTGGCTAGAGAGTTACAGTTGCTTCCCTTTTGAGTTTGGTGTTGAATACCCAAACTGTTGATTCTGTGAATATTTCTCTTACTGTCTCTATCATCCTCAACTTCTCAACAGCAGTCAGTTCCTAAAGTTTTAGGGTACACCGTCAAGCACCTTTCTGCCTTGTAGTGATATCAGTTTTATGTATTTCTGCTTTCACATCACCCTTACAATTTTTTGAGGCAAATACCATAGAGACACACATTGCATAGAATCAGTGATCTAACTTTAGTTCATTTTGAAAGGTAAATTTTTTAATCCTATTAATTTACTGAAGTCCCAGTTGTTTGTAGACCTTCTTCAAACAGAACTACAGGGAAGAAGGCAGAGTGGGAACTTCCTAGCCAGCACTGTCACCTTCTTAAACTCACACAAACCCCCAAGTCTGGACACTAAATAAAAAGTCCAACAGAATACAGTCTATAAACTCTTAGTGTTTTTTTTTTAATTCTACGCAGAATTCCAAATCATGTCAGCCTTTCAGGGGCAAGGGCGTAACTAACATGTTTGCATGTGTTCTGAACGCTTTTTGATATGAAACAATGCTACTCTTGTACCAGATGCTAATTATGGGAAAGGAAGTTGGAAGCTAGAGCTTTACTGCATTTAAGGATCCGTTCTCTAGAAAATATTACTCAGTGTACACTATTAGCTGAGCATCAGCAGTAAAACTTCTACTTAACTCACCACAGTTCTCAGTTGTAAACTGTGCACTGAATGTCAGTGATTTCTGATAGTGCAAAACTTGTGTAAATTCAAAATGCAGTGGTGCATTACTCTTAACATACCTGCAACGTGTTTAAGAATAAGTAGCTCAGCTGTTTCAGAAGCAAGTAAGAATTTACTGTTACAGAGACTCCTGTGTCCCCTCAGCTGACATATAGCATGACAGCATTTGCGTTATTGATAAAGCCATCTAACTTTGCATTCAGAACCCAGATTAGCTGCTCATCATGAGGTTTTTTCCAGGTTATTTTAGAACAAAAGATTAAGAAAAATAAAGAACCTTTGCTCCTTAAGCCCTTCACTTTTCAGTCTTGATGGGGGAGGAACACATTTGTGGAAATCCCATGTTTCATTACTAATTCTACCCAGTTCAGGGCCATAGTACTGTTACAATAGCTTGTGACAGTCTTTTACAGAAGTTTCTCTAATTTTTTTGCCTTTAAGTGAGTAAAAACTTAATTAACAATGCAGTAAGTTACTAGTAAATCACCAAATCACATGTCAGGAAATGGAAATAATGAGTGACAGTCATTCTAATACTCAATAATATTCTAATATTCAATAAATAAAATCTTCACAAGTTGTTGAAACAGCATCAATCTCTAAACCTACAAATGTTCTTCAGATAATACCAGGCGAGTTTTATAATCTGATTAATGCAAGCTTCCAAAAGCTCATACTCACATCACATCACGACTAAAGGCTCCAGAGAACAGCAGCTATTAAAGGGAACTAAGAGGTAAAGAAGGAACCCTTCAGTAGTATTCTCAGCATTTAAAGTTATCACTTAAGTGACAGTTTTATCAATATTAATTTAATAGATTCTTCCTTTGCAACCATTATCTCCAAAATAGAACTGATTAAGCCTACACAACATTGACGAGGAAACAACGATGTTGAGTATAAAAACAGCCAAGTGTGTCCATAAGGACTTCAGTATTCAGACTGCAGAAGTCCGGGCCCAGCTCTTGGTCTGACTATGCGCCTCTCACGTAGGAAGAAACTTAGCCAGAAACAAAGCTGCCTGTTTGCAGTAGGCTGTGACCCTACAGCAGTATACGCAGTATATAGTATAGGCCTATGAGAGTCATTAAAAATAAGGCAGTTAAAAACTTAAACACTGTTACCTTCCACCTGTTGCACTGTTCCAGGGTAATCCACCGCACAAATAGCTGGGGCTCCAAACAGACAAACTGCCAATGCTGGTACCTCAGCTGAAGCATATCTGCCACTAGCTCAGTTTCAGTCTAATGCTCTCCTGAACTCCTTCCTTATAAAGCTTTGACATATGAACTCGGACTTGACATATGAACTCATTTTAGCCACTCTGTATGAACATGTTTCTCGCTCTTTGTAGTCACTAATTCAGGTAATAACCCCTGAGAGATACACACTAGTATTTCCACATTCTTGTAAAGTTCTTGTTTCCTTTGTTGGTTGAGATTCCCAGATCTCATAGAGTGATTCTTTTATTAATTCTTAGTTGCAGCAAAATTAATATTTTCCACTTACAGGTCCTCTCAACACATAATAAGGGAAAAAGCTCACTGACTATACAGTGGGAATATTCCACATCCCCTCATCTCTGTTTTCGCAGAGATGAACCCATAGAGCATCCTGTGACAAGTCAGTGTTGCAACACACCAACCCCTTAAGAATCTCAAATAATAACTATGGTCCAATACTACGGTTTTCAAGAATGCTTGTAGAGCCAAACTACTGCTGTGCTTGCTCTTCCCTGCCCAGAATAAAGCAATATTCTCCCTGGTGGAGGAATTCTGAAGTCAAGATTTTTGGGGCCATTCCAGATGCTGCAGTGGCTTATCAATGGACTTTATTAATACTGTTTACATTCAAAATACCACTGTTCTATTACTAGCAGGCCCACAGTTAATGATGCTTTCAGAGTATTGATACAGTATATTGCCAAGTAAAAAATCTATATTCTATCATTGCAGAACAAAGTGGAAAGCTGGATAACACGTACGGCACAAAAGGCCCCATATTAAACACTACCAGAATTTCTCTGGATTAATTAATGGTATGTAAACATTGCAGCAATAGCCTTGCTTATTAAAAATCTAAGAGGTTCAAAGTTCTATTTCTTGTCTCGCTTAAGTGGGTCCTTATCTTCAAAGTCAGCGATTTGCAAATATTTTCACTTCAAAGTTTTGCTAACATAGCATAGATGTTATTTCTATTTATCAAAATAAGGTGATAAATACTTAGCAGTCTAACTTTGCCTCTAGTCTACTGACATAGAAAGATTTTTCCTTCTTAAAATTAAGACCAAAGTCCCAACAGTTATTGTAAGAAATAGTACATAATTCTGTTCCTCTCTACTCTCTAGACTTCCAAGACAAGGTTTCAGACAAGAGAAGCAACTTTGCTGAGTATTCCACTACTATATTTAAACCAAATTTTTTTTCTTAGAGAATAAGTGACACTGCCAGCAATCCCAGTTTCCAGCAGTAAAATACTCTCAAGTTGCCATTATATATCCATCACTACAAAGATTCCTGAGCTGTAAATACATCTGTCAAAGCCTGTTTGTTCATCACCACTGAAACAAAGAAACTACTTGATGTCCCATCACTTCTCAGTGTTACACATTAAATTCATGACACAGTAGTCTGAAGACACATGCCAAACTATCAAGTAGTTTTTAAATCAATGTAAAAATCTCCAAGAATTCCATGAAGGAAGTAAAAGCAACTAGGTTTAATTTTAAGATTTTTGACCATTAATGAACACCGCCTGGTTATCTTCCAGACACAAAAGCACCATTTATTCCCATCAAATACTGTGGGGTTAAAAAAAAAAAAAGAAATTAATGACTCATTAAGTTTACTACCCTAAGAAGTGCCTATTTTCTTGAGACACAAATTAGATTCTCAAGACACACTTTACAGAACCTAAAACTTACTGTTCCACTAGTCATTCATATTAAAATTGTAAGTTTAAAGCAAAAGATAACAAAAAGACAAATGTCAAAGCAAAAATAACAGAACTCCCACGATTTTCAACTGCATCATCAGTGACCACTCTTCTAAAAAAACAAGCTCCACGTTACCCACACAAGTGCTGCCCATACCTGCGATGGTCCTTAACTCCAGAACACCATAGCCACCATTAGCACCAATAATGTTGCTGATGTCTTGTGAACTGTAATTTTAGTGACAAGTCCTGACCAAAGTTGTTATATTACTTGCACTGTAGAGATTTCTAAGTCACTCCTCGACTCTTGTCATTCCCCTTGTTCAAGTAAGAAAAGTACTGTAAAACAGACTTTCTAATTTTTTTTTTCCCCCACTTTCTGGAAACCTTACAACTCAAATGTGCAAAACTTACTAACAGCAAATGTGCAAGAAAATAATAAAATCAGTACCTTCACTGAATGTTGGGAAATAAATATATAAATAGCAATTGTATAATTCTTCATGACAACTAGGATGCTCACTTTTGGTCACTGTCTTGCATTTCATTTTTATTCATAAAACATAAAGGTCAATTTAGCTACCCTGCATTATAAGAATTAAAATTATAAAATATATGACAGAACAGAATGTTTAACATACTGAAGATGCACACTGTCACAGCACCTGTGGAACAGGCTACAACTGCTGAGTAATTCAACATTTCACTGAGGATACAGCTGTCAGTGCAACCATTTCCACTAATTCAATGGTCAGATGACATTTTGGCACCAAATGTATATAGCTTAACAGATTTATTTAGTTTACTTGTGTACAGGTGTTGTCTTCCTTGTCTTCTACCTGTTTGCCCATTTTATATTTACAGAAATTCTTCAGTGCCAGCTTCTAAATAAATTCTGACATTTAAAAATATATTTTTACTTTTTAATGACAACATTGAAACTGCTGTTTTATTCAGTTCTACTCAGTTCTCCCTACAACAAGAAGAAACAGGTTTAACTGAGTTATCTATTTTTTTTAAACTACTTTGGTCATCCCAGAAAAGAACCACAGATCCACATCCCATCTTTCCACATGCCTATATGTTCACGACCTTTAGCGCTGCAGCAATGCTCACCTTTTATGAACTGTGTTAGCCTGCAAGCTAACAAAAATGCCAAGTTAGGACTGCTTAGCATCCTACATAAATATAATACAATTCCAAAATACACCATTTAGGAAAAACAAACAGTTTTTACTGTTCTAGTCTGAAGAAAAGATTCTGGTAACAGATTAGAACACCTATTATTTACAGACTTAACAGAATTTTAAAACACCCTAAATTTCAAGACAGTTAACGTATCTGCCAACACAGCAGTTTCAGATCTGGTAAAAGAGATTTTTCCATCCAGCAGCTTTACTATTAAATTTCACATTCATTAACAGTTATGTGGAAGGACACTAAAAGAGGGTAAAAAAAAAAAAAAGCCTTCTAACTACTAAAATCAATACAATTCGGAGGAGAGATATTAAAAACTGTGGTTATACCATTATGCAAAAAACAACAAAACAGCTGAATAAGCAGTGTTTAAATATATTTAGCTATTAACAAGACAAGCTAGTTGATAACTTCTAAGGAATTTATACAAAATTTTGCAATGATAAGAACACTATCATTAACTATCAAGATTTAAGCTTTGCCTTTTTCAAAATAGAGCATACATGTGAAGAATCCTAACCTATCCACCCCTCAACCTTCCAAAAAAAGAGGAATTGCTTCATTTACTACCCTGTTAAAGAGCAACTCTTAAGTATTGCCTGTGGACAGAATTATACTATTTTAACCAAAGTTATTTTAAAATCAATACAGAATAGAACAGAAGCACTGACATTTAAATCTATAATATGGGGGTTTATATGGATAATTGTGTTTTACAGGTATTAATCTAATGGCTTCTCCTTCCCAGTACCTCCCTACCCCTTATTTTTAAAACCTAGTAGAGCAAGGAAAAGGTTCTCAAATCAAATGGCTACTCTGTCCATTCAGCAGCAATGCTGCTTAAGGAGGTCTTGTTTCCACTCTACCTACTGCACTGGCAAAGTGATTCCCAAAGCTGTGTGATTGGAAAGATCATAGAACTGGTCCATCTAAAAAGTAATGGAATGGGGAGTTTTGATCACCTCAATCAAACTAGGTCCCTCTTCTGAGCCTCCACAGATCATTCTGCTAGCACATGACCAAACTACAAAAAGAAAAGAGTTATTTAACTCTATGGTGGATGGTGGAAATACCCTGGAATGACAGCCCAGATATCCATTCTTTCTGGATGATTCTCAGCATAGCATAGAATTTTTTTTCTTTATTCTATTTCTAGAATTATATGAGCCCAAAGAAGCAAGTAGAAACAAAAGCAAATAAACTTCCCACCCCTTTTGTGGTCTCACAGTTCTATGAAATCAGGTAAGTCAGGTCTCTCTGTCTATATTAAAATGTCAACAGCTCAGAACAGATGGAACTGCAAAGCGTGCACAAAATCTGCAGACATTTAATTCAGCTGGGCTCTGTGCAAGTACACAAACTAATCCTATGTTACAACACATCTACTGTACTTTTAAAAGCAGAAAAAGATGGGTATTTGGTATCACAACTATTTTTTTCCTAATTATAACATCTACCCGCATACAGCAAGTTTTCTTTAAGTAGTCTTAATGCATCACTGAAACACAAGGACAATGCCTACTTAAGATGCATTGGAGGGGAAAAAACAGGAAGGAAAGACTTTTTAATCTCTTACCGAAATATAGGAGTATGACCAGGCTTTGGTTTGTTCCAAGTAAAGTGTGAAGGAACAGAAAGAAATTGGTCTCCAGGCAAGTCTTTTTTCAAGGTGTGCTGAGATCCAGGGCAATCATCAGTTTCGAGGGATGATGACAAGTTACCCTGCTCTTCAGGACAGATATCTACTTTTCCAGATAAAGTGGCAGTCTGATCCTCTGAGGTCTTTCTTGTTTTAAGAGGAATATCAGTCTCTGTACAACACTGAAATGGTGAAAGGCCAGAATTAAGGCCTTGTACATTATGGATGGAAGTGTTAAGCCACGTGTCTTCTGTTATGCTTCCCCTAGGAGAATGGCCAGGTGATGGAGTTGGAGAATGGTGAGGAGAGAGAGAACCAGCATAGCAAATCTCAGCACTGGAGTGTCGTCGTTTCCCACAAGGGGATGTAGGTCTTGATGAGGGCCTTGATGTTGGTCTAGGGCTTAGCCAATTTTCATCTGTAATACTAGTTCTAGGAGAATGACAGGGAGACTGTCTAGGTGACAAGGCGTGCCCAAATCCATAAGGTTGCTGCCATGATTCATCACTGGGACCTCTTGGAGAACCACCAGGTGATGCCAAAGGAGAGCCAAGGGTAAATCGAGCAGCTGCTTCATTTAGCTCTGAGTCTACATCATCATAAACATGGGAAATGGATTCACAAGAGGAAGCATCTGAAAACCAACTTCTGGATGAAATGCTGCTGGCAGGACTTGGACTAAGGGATGATTCCCTGTATGATGGCTCAAGAGGAAGATACAGATGGTCCCGTGAAGGTCTTTCCATATAGTCATTTTCTGTGCCATTTGTGTGTAATTCATCTTCACTGGCTTCGATCCCCTGATGACAGTTGGGTGAAATTGATGTAATTTGAATACTGGGGCACTCGAAGGGTTTGGGTCCACCTAGTGGACTGTATTTGGATTCTGGTACCTCACATGTGCCTTCATAGTTCTTATGGCTCTGAAGTCTTGTAGGAGGTGTCAGAGGAGAGGAGTGAGATTGCAATCCGTGGCGAGGAATACAAATGGGCTGATTCACAGAGGATGATGGTTGGTCTACATTAAAGATGTATATGGATGCACAGTCATCTGACTCAAGATCTGAAAACAAAATTAAAACATAAAAAAGAAAAAAAAAAAAAAGGAAGGAACAGAGTCAGAATGCAATGCTTGGAAAAAATGCCATAAACAAAATCCTTTGTTTCCCAGATATGGACTTTTATCAATATCATAGATATTTCCCATTATACTAGCTATACAAAATAAAGCTAATTTTACATTTTCCCCAGTCATATTTACAGCTAAACATGACTACAACATGGTTTTCTATCATAAATCCTGTTTTCAACAAGATTCCACAATTTATACACATCTTTAGTGGTTGAAAATATAATACAAACAGAAAAACGGGTTTACAACTTGAAAGGATCTAAGCCTAAACATTCAATTCAGACTTTATCTTTCACAACTGTATTCCACTTATAATTTAACATTTTTAATCATAAATTATTTTTTAAATCATGTTTTTGACAAAAATAGGACTATGATACTTTCTGCAAATCCAGTCAATACTTACAAGCATTGTAACATCACATAACATTTATCTACTTAAACAATAGAAAGCATCTTACAGTGACTCAAACTTGAATGAAGATTATGAACCACTAAAAATATTCAATCACAGGAGGCCTAACAAAGAATATTATTAAAGGTATTATGAAGAGTCATATTCCAAAGATCTTTTTTTGTTGCTTCTCTTAAGTGCTCATCCCACAAAATACCATTTTTCAAGTGCAATCTCATGAAGTTTGAGCACAAGTCATTCAGCAAAATAAGGCAAAACATATTCTCAGATCTAACTTATCCAAAACACGGGAAATATTGCAAAGGAAAACAAGACATTGAGAGGGAGAGTAAGTCTCATTAACAAAATCAGAAGTTTTGTCTCACAGAACTGAAGCAGATTTTCTAGGCCCACTTCTCCACATTGAATTAAATGAAACATTTGTCTGAAACAAAAGTAGAAAAAACACAACTCTTTGTCTTATTTTCTAACCTTTATGATTCCACTCTTGTTTCTTTCCACTTGTAAAACAGAGCCTTCACTATGATTTTCCATAAATCCAGGCTGGATGACATTAATTGCATCTCTGGGTATTAGCTCTTTCTTAAAATGTTTTTTATCCTGAGTATCAGTAGAATATTAGTACTTGTTAAAAAAAAAAAAAAATCTAGTCTCTCTGACTATCAGATAAGATGTCCAGACAGGAAGCTATGTATTTTAGGCCTTTCCATGACGAAAAAATTAGTTTGTTAATGAAATAATTCTATTATCAGTTTCACTAACAGGAATCATCTTAAAATTAACTAAAACAGAACCAAACCAAAACTACAGCTCCTCAGAGACAAGGTAGCAATTTCAAATGGAGACAAAGCACATTGTTACCAAGGAACAGACCATGTTCCTCAGAATGTTCATGGGCAGGGAGCAACTCTGTAAGGAATGTATTTAGGAGGCACAAACTGCATTTAAGAGGAGCACAGAGTAATTTCATAAGCACTGTGTGATTTTATATGTATTACAGTAATGTATGACAATTATCCATATTATATAACTATAAAATTAACTACTATTATGTGTTAAGAAAACAAAAAACCAGTATAGATTAATTTCTAAATATGCACACATTAAAAGGATCAAGATTCTCAGGAAGGTCTATTTTATGTATCACACAATTAACCCAAGCTTACTATACTGACCACTATCAAAACTGCATTTCCCTATCCTTTCACTAGGGCAACAGACATTTTCTAAAACTTTAATTGAGGTGTCTTTATTTTTTCTCTTGCTGTTCCCTATCACAAAACATGAAATGGAGACTGTAGTTGGTTACAGGTTTTCCACATCTATTGGTGTATTAGTGTGCAAGATCATAGATGTCATTGCTCCTAACTCAGTATTAACATTAAAAGCATAGATCAAGGGAAGAAAAAGGCAATCCTAATAAAAGCTATTATTCAGCTTCTCTAAACTTAGAAATAAAACAGTTACAGCTACAGAATTTTTGAAATAATAATAAAAATGTTTTAGGAAAGACTTGGAAGTCTTCAAGCCCTATGTGTAAGCATATACTGTCATTAACAGTTTTATGAACAGTAATAGCACATGGGTTTGCACTAAAACTCTCACCAGTGCAGAGAGCCGTATTTCTCTTGCACCAGTAATCCAGAAATCTTAAAATATTTAAGGCACTTTCTCCACTTTCAGTGTCACTGAGATTTACAAAAAGCAGATGTACATTCAAAATTTAAGTTTCATGGAGTTGAGGTGGACAGATCTGGCTAGCACAGAATTATCAATGCCAGCTGGGAAGAACTGGGGAAGAGATCGAGCAGGCAGGAGAGTACTTCTGACTCAGGCTTCTTTGGTCCCTTTCCTGACAAACAAGCTCTAAGGAGTTTGGCACTGTGCTCTCTCATTACCCCTCCCCAGCACACACTCAAAAAACCAGGAAGCCAGAAACCTAGTGAACACAAAAGCATGCTTAAGACTGTGGACACAATATAGTTGGAAGTCTTAATCACCCAAATAGTTTTTAGACACAATGGATATACAGGTAGATTTATTTCAGCCTGTACACACAAATACTCCCCCTTATAATTCATGTGTTAAAATAACCTGTTAGCTACTCATACAAAAGGACAACACTAAGACCTTCACAAATCATGTCATTAATTCTACTAAATTATTTACCAATAACTATTTTTGTTGTATTAAAGACCGTAGAGAGAATCCAATCTGGAAGATCCCTCTAACCTATCTTGAGGGACTAATAAACATATAAACACAAATACAACTCAGGTGAAAGAAATGGGGGAAAAAGAATGAAAAAACCTCAGGTAATAATCCTTAAGGGGGAAAGGAGCAAGAATAGCTCAAAACAAATCCAACACAGGGCTTCAAGAAGCAGAAGGCAGACAAACAAAGGGAAGTCTCACAGTAGACAAGTGCAAGGCAAAAATGAGTTATGGAGAAGCCATAACTCATAAGGGAAAAAAATGGAGTTATAGAAATCTGGTTACCTAATAGGAGAGCTATTACACATCCAAGCAATCCTAGTGGGGAAGGAAAGACAGTAAAGAAGTAAGGTTGGCCAAGTCATAAAGCCTTCACTGTCCATAAAATATAAGAAAGCTTTCAAGACGTAGAAAGTAGGTCAGATTACTAAGGTAGAGTGTAAAACTCCAACATGGGGGTAGAGATGCTAGGCAGGACAGACCTGGCAAAATACAAAGACCAAGAGAAGCAGCATCATTCACATCAAAAGCCCACAACCCTAAAAAGGCAGGTGTGTTAAAAGCTTTTCCTTTGGTAAAGTCAACTGAGTAAATTTCTAACAAAGGTAACAGCAATACAGAGTTAAAACAAACAAACAAACAAACAAACAAAACAAAAACACACAAAAACACAAACAAACAAAAAAATCAAAACAAAAAAAACCTAAAAGGTTACAAAATACTGAAGAATTATGGTCCAATAAGTTTAACTTCAGTTATAGAAGCAGTATTAATAGTTTAATTGTTCCAGTAAGCATTTTAAAGGAGACAGAGAAACTAAACAAGTCACTGTTTGCTAAGAACAAACCACGTCAAACAAATTTTGGTTTATGATCAAATGAGATCTTCTGGATCAATGGTACAAAAAGAAACTCAACTTGGTTTTTACCGACTAAGACTTCTAACACTACCATGCATGGAGAAGCCATTGAGTCTTTAGAAGTTTAGGGAAGTCCTCCTTCCCACCCTGCTGAGATCAGGTTCACTGCTGACGGATCACAAAAGGCGGCAGATGCTTTATATTCACACAGTGTATAAGCTACATAAAGCTGCAGACTTTCATTGCAGTCTTACATCAGGTGTCAGTGTCATCCAATGTCAATGAGAACCAGAAGGTCTCTTCTTTTGAATGTACATTTGCTACTGTCTGGAAACAGACCCATTCACAGGAGCTCCTCTTCAGTATTAAAGCAGCACTGGCTCATCCCTTACTAAGCTGCTAACTACACTTCAACATAAGCTGTCTAACTGGGGAATGTACTTAAATAATATCCGGAACAAATGCTTCTAAAGCACATTTTGCTTGCTACTTGCTGTATCAGAGGGCACATTCAGGACTGGTAAGCTGCCCACCAGTTGTTCACTCCTCAAGGATGTACTGGCACATGCACATGTGCAGCTGTGCAGTCTGCAGATTTCTCCAGAGAAGGAAAGTCAACTACAATCAAAAGTCTGAACGGAAGCCCTGTGCCAAAATTATCCAAACTACTTTATTATTCTAAGTTTGTAAGCCCATAAACAAACAGGTTCAGACAACAAGAGCTGCAATAAGGTATTAAAAGAATGCAACCTGACCTAGGTCTTATAAAAATACTACTGTGAAAACAGGATCAGTAATCACGTCCTTTAAATAGAATGAGGAAAGACAGGCATTGCCACGAACATCATGTGCATCTCCCTTCCAAACTTCAGAAAGGATAACCATCTCTTCTGTTTTCCAGTTCTGTCATGAGTTACCACTATCTCTTTCTGAACACAATGGTATTATAAAAAATGTTACAAAAATATCTCTAAATAAGCCCATAAAAGATATGCAGCTCCATTTTTTTATTCCATTATTTTGCAGATTTGCAGCAGTTCATATATTTCTTGGGATGAAAGAGGAGTCTCAACCTTCACAAAGAACCCAAAATACACAAGAATCATAGTTTTCCTTTTGTGAATTTAAAAAGACAATTGATCAGAGTTCTTGCTGGTACACTACCACACTGGAGCTCTATAATTGGATATTTAACTCCAGTTTTCCATTACAAGCTTAAGTTCTCCAGAGATACTTCCCACAGGTTTAAACACCAACTTAAAAAGAACACAACCCAAAAAATCCACTAAAAAACACAGCAATGTATTAGTTTATAAGAAGTATAACTGACTAGTAAGCCAAATATGGTACTGAAAAAGAACAAATTGTGAAAACAATTAAGGGAGCAAGGTGGAACAGGGGGAAGTACATCCTTCTAGACCAAATTTGGCAACACATAAAACAG